ACACAGCCTTGAAGCATTACGACAAAGCCAAGGAGCTGGACCCCCCCAACATGCCTTACATTATCAAGCAAGCAGCGGCATGCTTTGGAAAGAGCGACTACGATAAGTGTCGGGAGCTTTGTGAGAAGGCCATTGAAGCGGGGAGAGAAAACCGAGAAGACTATCGACAGATTGCCAAAGCTTATGCTCGAATTGGCAGCTCCTTCTTCAAAGAAGGAAGGTACAAGGATGCCATCCATTTCTATAACAAGTCTCTGGCAGAGCACCGAACCCCAGATGTGCTCAAGAAATGCCAGCAGGCAGAGAAAACACTAAAGGAGCAAGAGCGACTGGCCTACATAAACCCCGACCTGGCTTTGGAGGAGAAGAACAAAGGCAACGAGTGTTTTCAGAAAGGGGACTATCCCCAGGCCATGAAGCATTACACAGAAGCCATCAAAAGGAACCCAAAAGATGCCAAATTATACAGTAATCGAGCTGCCTGCTACACCAAACTTCTGGAGTTCCAGCTGGCACTCAAGGACTGTGAGGAATGTATCCAGCCGGAGCCGACCTTCATCAAGGGTTACACCTGGAAAGCCGCTGCCCTGGAAGCGATGAAGGACCACACCAAAGCCATGGATGTGTACCAGAAGGCGCTCGACCTGGACTCCAGCTGTAAGGAGGCGGCAGACGGCTACCAGCATGTATGATGGTGCAGTACAGCCGGCATGACAGCCCGGAAGATGTGAAGCGACGAGCCATGGCCCACCCGAGGTGCAGCAGATCATGAGTGACCCAGCCATGCGCCTTATCCCGGAACAGATGCAGAAGGACCCCCAGGCACTCAGCGAACACTTAAAGAATCCTGTAATAGCACAGAAGATCCAGAAGCTGATGGAAGTGGGTCTGATTGCAATTCGGTGATGACTTGTTCATCCCCCGTTCCCTTCGCCCTCCTGTGGAAAGAGGAGCTGGGACCGCAGCGAGCAGCGCAGAGCGGAAGGGAGAGCAGGAGGAAAGAAGGCCTCATCTCTATGTTTGTACATAACCCCGGCAAGACACAGAGACTTGTACTTGGCGCTGTTCGTGTCACCGCTGCCTCTGGGCCTTCCCAGCACACGCATGGTCTCTTCACCGCTGCCCTCGAGTTCCATGTCTCCTTCCCCTGCCCCAGCCGCTGTCTTGGCTGCTCTCCCATAGTTGGTTATTTTTTATTTGGTGCCGTGGGCATGTATGGGGAGGGAAGGGGGTTCTTCCCAGCCTCAGATCCCAGCTGTCTCATGTTCTTTATTCTAAGTCCCCTTCTCCAATAAAACAAGCCAGTTGGGAGTGGTTATATGTTAAAAAAAAAAAAATTAGTTTTACTTTGTCGTTTGATGTGGGGATCATCACCCATTAGTAGGGGCAATTAAAGCATCCTTTCACAAGAATTAATTAATATTTACACCTTTGATGGAAGTAATGCTTAAGCAATGTTTATTTAGGTTTATCAAAAATTCTCCCTCTTTAATTTATGTACATATTAACAAAACAAGTAATACCATACACAGTCATGCGTTGCTTAACGATGGAGATACATTCAGAGAAATGGATCTGTAGGTGATTTTGCCATTGTGCAAACATCTTAGAGTCTACTTACACAAACCTGGATGGTGGTATAGCCAACTACACATGTGGGTCATATGATACAGTCTATTGCTTCTAGGCCACAAGCTTGTGCAACATGTCACTGTACTGAATTCTGTCCGCAGCTGTAACATGATGGTATTTGTGTATCTACACACGTCTAAACGTAGAAAAGGTAATGCTTTGTGCTACGACTTTATGACTGCTACGAGATGACAAAGTGTTAGGAATTTTTCAGTTCCATTATAATCTTGTGGGATCAGCATTGTATAGGTGGTTTGTTGTTGACCAGAACTACCTTATGTGGCACATAAATACTACCTACAGTTACTCTTATATAGTCAGCTCTTTTTTTTTTTTTTTTTTGGCTAAATAAAATTTTATTTATGGTTTTTAATGGAATTAAGTTCTCTGAAACCTTGAACATTTCAATAGATAACCAACCCAAACTTATTTTCTTAAATATACCAATGATTTTAAAAAAGTAAATCTTTTTGCTTGAATTATCTAGAACGTCTAACTTCATTTACCCACGTCACAAATGTATACTTTATTTGGCACCGTTTTACCCTAGATAAAGAGCATATTATTTAAAGTATATTTTTAAATAGAAAACACTTGTGCCAAGTGTTGAGGAAAAAGACATAAAGAGTATTTGGGAAACTATGAGGAAAGAAGGATTACGTCAATGTGGTTCCAGCAAATCTATTTCTAGCAAATAAATTTAATCTAAAATATCAGCCCAGAATTATGCTATTCATTTATTTTCACATATAAAGAGAGGACCGAATACATGCGGCTATTGTGTGAATTAACATGTGGGGTATGGGTAGGCAAGAATGTGGAAGAATACAGATATGAGAAAAAAATCATATTTGCCACATTTTTAGATATATTTTAATTGAAAACATAGAAATCCATCTTAGTCAACTCAGTTTCCTGCAAAGGATTAATTGGCACATGTAAACTAACTTGGTCAAGGTCAGAATACAGCTGGGCCACAAGACGACTGAATCAAAGGTCTTGCCAGGATGTACTCTCTTCACTTCTTGCCCTTGGTTTTCTGTGTGCATCCTCTTTATCTAAGCAATTTGATTTTTCCTACTGGCTTATAAGCCTTCATGCCAATGGTCTTATTAATATTGCTAATGTTCACTTCCAAAGAACTGAGATGCTCTTTGCCCAATGTTAAATTCTAAGAAGTATTGTAATTGGTCCAAATTGAATACGCTGTCTATCTTTGGACAAATAATAGTAGTCAGGGGCATGGGGCACCATAATGGGGACAACTGTAGCTGTGTAAGCTATGTAAGCCTCTACCATATCCAAGAATGAAGGAGAAGAAGTTTGAAGAGAAAATCAAAAGGTGTCCACTACACTCTCCTCAGAAGTTAAAATAATTAGGTTGCCATATGCCAGAACATGCTATTACCTTTTAGATAGAGCATCTGAAGCTGTCAATTAGTTTTCCAGTATGAAATTTATTTTAAACACAACTAAGTACATAATATTTCCAGAATGGGAATAAATTATATCTAGGATGTAGAAACCAACTGAAACTGTGCCATTAGAGAGCCTTCTAAGTGCTGACTTGTTTGTATTCAATAAAATAATTACCATTTTCTCAAGACACCCAATTTAACAGTTCACAAAGCTCCACAGCACCTACTGTTCATGATTATAATTACCAGAGCACAACATAAAACCACCGTGAACAAAAAACACATCGGAATATCTCAAAGAACAGACTAACAAAATGAGAGGTTCTCATACAGTAAATAATGAAATGCTTGTAAATTAAGAAGACCAAAGTTGTGATATCTAAAATGGCACAATAATTTTTCCAGAATTATGTTCTAAAAAATAACATTTAAAAAGAAATGTAGCATTGCCTGCAGAGTTCGAAATTGCTGCCTCTGACAGCATTACTTCCTGTTGATATCAATTTTCCCGAGGGGCAAGACATTTAACTAGCAGTCCCTCTCCAGCTGAGAACATCAGTGTCTGTTTATAACCAAGTCTTTGCTGATTTGGGGTCCAGGCCTTGTTCCATAGTCCAGGGGCTGCATTCTGTTAGCAGCAAATGGCCCAGTCACTAAATGAGCAAGCATCTAACATTGTGCTCTTATTCCTTGGCTGATACTGTTTGTACTACTTCCAACTGATTCAATATTCCTCACACGAGCCACCTTGTTGAATACTTAAAGCAGGAGTTAGCGATCTCCAAAGGTCATAATTCACAATCATGGATTTCCTTTACACCAGTTACTGGTTTTAGTTATAGACCCTCAAGAAAATCACAAGCATTCTTGTCTCATGTTTTGTGGATACTCGAATGATATCATACTGTCTACTAGAGAAAAATCCCCAGAGGATAGTTTATATGAATTAGTCATTTTTTTCATCTTGTAAGCGCAACTCCTATGGAATAATAAGCACCTGCTAAAAAACGTGTTGATTAAATGACTAAGCGAATGACACTTCCAACCAGGAAGAAATAATTCCATTAGAGGTGCAGAGGATGGGCTTTCAAAATATAGTGCCAATTGTCTTCATGTTTATAGTTAAATATTTGTTATATTAAAACATAATAATGATAGCTCCTACCTATCATTTATTCTTTCATTACCTTGACCATTAGTAGAAAAAACAAGCAGAGGGCTATCTCAGGAGTCCTGTAAGAGCTAACAAGAGTTTTCATGTTAAGTGGTAGCCCTTGAAGTGAGAAGAGGGCAAATTCTGAATATATATTGACTGTGCAAACGACAAGATATATGATAAACTAGACATGTGGCATGAGAGAAAACAGAAGAGTATACAGGCAGATAGACACGGAGAGACAGAGAAACAGGAGAGACAGACATATAGAGACATACAGACTAACAGAGTTGGAGAGAGAACATAGACATAGAGAGAAAGACAGAGAGAGATCAGGAAATGAAATAAGGAAGCAAGACTAGATAGAGAAGAAAAACATCCAGTGACCAACACTCAAAAGTTAGAACATTCAAAGACGTGACTGAAAAGGAGCTTCCAGTAAGGCAAAAGTAAAACCAAGTAAAGAAAACGTTTTCGGCTGGGCACAGTGGCTCATGCCTGTAATCCCAGCAATTTAGGAGGCCAAGGCGGGAGCATCACCTAAGGTCAGGAGTTCAAGACCGGCCTGGCCAACATGGTGAAACCCCGTCTCTACTAAAAATACAAAAATTGGTCAGGCATGTGAAGGGGGCACCTGTAATCTGAGATACTTGGGATGCTGGGGCAGGAGAGAATCACTTGAACCTGGGAGGAGGAGGCTGCTGTGAGCCAAGATCACGCCATTGCACTCCAGCCTGGGCAACAAGAGTGAAACTCTGTCTCAAAAAGAAAAGAAAAGAAAATGTTTTCATCAGGAAAAAGTAATAATATTTGCTAAATATCACTTATAAATCAAGTTAAATGAAGACTAAAAGTGATTGTTCTGGTCAAGATCGAAGTCATTGGTGACCTTGTCAAGAGTGTTTCAGAAGAGAAATGGGCGGGAATGTTTGATTACAGATCTGTAACCGAAAGAGAGAAAATGGTGTTTTGAGCAGTACTTATAAAGAGCTTTATTCTAAGAGATTGCAGAACCAGGGGTAAAAGGGATGTAGGTACTAGCCTGAGCTTGTTTTTAAGGGCAGGGAAGTTTACAGAAAGCTTGAATAATACAAGAGAAATGGAGTAATGAAAGATGAAGAAGACAGAGTAATTGCAGGAGCACATTTTTAGTGAATGCTCACAATGTTTTAGATACAGGGTCAAGTGATTTACTTGTATCTTATTTAATGATTAAAACAATCTCTGAGGTAAAGTTTGTTATGCTGTTTTACAAATGTGGAAAATCGCTTAGAGAAGTTTAGTTTACTTGACTAAAGTCACACAGGTAGTCAGACACAGAGCCAAAAGTTAAACTCAAGACTGCTTCAACCCTCCATGAACTTGACCTAATCGTTAGCTATAGATAATACATTTTGTCAGGCGACTAAAGTATAGCCATTAATCTTATCTCAACCCATGCCCATAAGATTCTTTGTGCAGCCTTCAAAGTACCCAAGAATTTTCTTCAGCACTAAGACAACCTCAAATAATGATTTTTACATATCTCAGCTACATAATTTTCCATGGTAGAGCAACATAAAATACACGCATATATATATATATATTTCTATCAAGGTAAATATATTGTTTACATATTAATCTTATGTTCAGTTTTTCAGAAAAAAAAAAAAAAAAACAGTAAATTGCTCAGAAAAAATATATACCATAGAGCTAGAGAGAAATTTAGATAATTGTTTTTCAGGGTTCCATTTTATGATTGTGCACACCAAGGCAAGGAAAGGTTAAATCACTTACCATTGACAGAGATGAAATTAGAAACAGAGAAAAATGGTAAAAACTCATGGCAAAATTAAAATAAATACATTTACTTTTCTGTTCCTTCTCAGTATGTTACATATCCTTATTTTGCAACGTACAGCTAAAGAGATTGAAATTATACCCTAAATCAAATAAAGAGGTAAAAAGTTGCAGAATTGAAACTTAGGGAACCTGTAAATTAGAGAAGTTTGTTTTGGCTGTTACAAATAAAAAAAAAATCATAACAGCCTAGACTCAGTTATATCTTTCATTTCTGTCGTAGAATGTGAATAATTTTTTGTAATCCCTGGAGATGAACAGGCCTAGTTCTAAATTTTCAGTCAATGACTTTAGGTATTTTGCCTCCCTAAGGCTCAGTTTTCTCACTTGGAAGCAAAGTTAATGATAGTGCCTACCTGAAAAAGTTGTGAGGATTATATGAGATAATTTTGATGGAACATATGCCCAGTCCATTCTGTATACTACATCAGGTTCATTATTTTTATTGCCTTTTCTATTTGGTATAAAATGTCTTTCTCTTGAAAGCCACTGACGTTTAAAATGTATTCTTATCTTCCTTAATTTGTTTTTAAACTAAAGATAGTACAAATAATATCTGAATAATGGTTCACAAAGATCAAAAGATAGAGATTTTGTCATAACAATATGCTAGACTTATCTTCATGAGATGTACAGTTATTTTAAGAATTCCGCAGTGGTTTACAAAAAGCACATTAAAATAAAAGCCATACCTCAATGCATTTTCCCTGCCAGATATGTTTTCTTTATTGTCTTGTTTCAATATTAGATATTATATATATATATATATATGTATGTGTGTGTGCACATTAAGTACCTTCTCTATTCTAAGCACTATGCTTCAAATAATTACTCCTAGTTCCATATTAAATTTTAAAAACCTGAATCCCCAAAAATCTTCTTTTTTTTTTTTCTTTTTGAGAGTGAGTCTTGCTATGTTGCTGTAGCTAGCAAAGAACTCCTGATCTCAAGCTATCCTCCCACCTCAGCGGCTCCAGGACTGGGACTACGGGTGCATGTCAACATGCCTGGCCTGAGGAACACTCTTAATAATATTTTCTCTATATTTTTAGAGGAGAAAGAATACCTTCAACTGCAAGATATAAAAATGTGAGTTGCAAATCCCTGAGAAGAAAGTATTTCACAACCACATCGTGAGAAATCTGATAGAGGTTGCTTAATTTTGTGTTTCATTTAATGAAAAATTTTAAATTTTCTCTCGTGTGTCTCATTGAAATTCATCAGGATATTGTAGCTCACAGTGATATCTTACTAATTACTATCACACAACCTAAATTGCTAGTATTTCACAAGTTTTGCATCATTATATGCTTGTAACTAAGTACAGCTTACATCTAAATCACTATTAATATTTAAAATTGTCTAGTGACTGAAAAATCAAAACAAGGCTAAACTGATGGGCTATTATTTAAAAACTATGAAAAAATCCCTTAAGGAAATAAATTTTTACCTAACTACCTTCCCTATTTTTTCCTTGACTTAGAAAGTTTTTCTGCTTTGCCTCCTAACACCTGATTCAATTGATCTGAATTATTTTTCTTCAAAATTATGCTTGACATTAATTTACCATATCTGTTGAGAATCAATTTCTCACATATTTCCATGGTTTTATGTTCCCAGTAGAACTTTTTTGTTATACAGCCTAAATTATCTCTAATCCAGCCAAAGGAACTCAATTTTCATGCCACTTCTTATTCTAGTAATACAGCTTTTGGCTTGGAAGTGTCTCCTTATTCTAATAGGTCTCTGGTTAGAATGTGGTAAACAGCTGTGCTTGTTCATGTTTCTGGATTTGTGCATAGCACATAAGCCCAAGAGTCTACAGGAAAAAAAAAATACTGTTTCCACACTACAGCACTAATCCCAGCAGAGAATTAAAGAATTTATTTATGAAAAGTCTTCTCAGATAACCTCCTATTCTGCCATCTGGTTTACCGTAATCAATCTGCTATCTGGCTTCATACAGTTATTTCATGACCTAAATATACAGAACAGAAAATTGTCGCTTTGCTATGTAAAATTCAGTCTAAGGAATTGAAGTTAGCAATGTTAACGTTTTTAATGTTCTTCATTTCAATGGTCCTTGTAGATAGATTTCTATGTTCTAGAGTATCTAGAGAGGCTTATTATTAATAAACATACTTTGTTCATATCATCCCTTTTTTATGCCTTATTTTAAATCTGAAGCCCTAATCCAATAGATATTGTGGCTATTTTAACCCTTGCCATGTTACTTCTGTTAAAAACACAAGCAGTGTCATAACAGAATGCAAAAGGGTTCAGCACTCTTCTGCTTTTAAGACCAGTTCAACATCACAAATGAAAAAACAAGAAACTGCCTTCTCAGATCAGCTTCACACAGATGCACTGATAGCTATTCTGTAAGTTATTTGGTACTGAATGTGTGTACAGAAGAATACTTAGCTCCAAACATTGAATACCCTGATTTTTATTCACTGATTTTCATTCACTTCAGAAAGTATTGACTGAAAAATCTATGAGGTCTAGCTCTCCTGAGACACTAAGAAGAATAAAAATGTGTGAAACATGACCAGAGTTTTTGACAACTGGGCCAAAGAAAAAATGTATTTCCAGTGAAGAAAATATTACCACAAAATGATGAATGTGAAAGCACCGTGTGCAGTAGAAGGTAACAAGAGAAGATGGTAGATAAAGGTTCTGCTGGAGATTACTGTCACATACAATAGATTAGGTAAAGTGTGCCAGACTATAAAGTGGGCCAGACTATAAAGGCCCTTCAAATATGTGAGGCAAGACAACTTGTTAAGATATAAAAGCATATGTTATTTGCGCTATTGTGAGCAGGGTTTGTGTTTGTTTGTTTTGTCAATGAATATCAAAAAAAGAAAGCTAAGCTTTTTTGTAATAAAAATTACGGCAACCATCATGATGTAAGGCTCTACCACCTTAGCTCCCCTTACTCCAACTTCTAGCATTGAAGAAAAACTTGGATTGTTTATTAATCAAGTAGGTGAGGAAAGGAGGTCTCAGCAATGACAAATACTTAATATTTCACCAGCCACAGGTGTGAGCTCAGAGCAGAACACAGACTTACTGGAATGTAATACTTCTGCTGTTTGAGTGCTATGAAGCAAATTTCACATCCACTAGACAAAATAAATTTCTTTCTTGAGTATACTTCACTCTCATTTTGGAAGTTGTTCAAACAATAATTCAATTCAGTAATGTAACCAAATACAATAGTTACACAAACCCAATAACTTTCCAATCACTAGCAACAATTAACTTTTAAATATAATAGGAAATAATTTTCTATTCACAATTTCAACAAAACTGTTAATAAAATCAATTCCAAAAACTCGACAGGAAGACATTATATATTTTAAAATGCTGAAATATATAAAAAACTGAACAGACACCACAAAAGTAAATTTAAAATACACTTTTTACTCCAATTAGTTTACTTCTAAGCATCTATCATCCAAATAGATTTCAGCTATGTTTTTAATAGCAAAAAACTGGAAACATAAATGTGCATCACTAAGAAAATGGTGAAATGTGTAGTAAATTTATACTAGAAAATGTAAGAAAGTATTTTTAAAATCTCCAAGATATATTATTGTGTTAAAATAATTGCAGAATAATATGTGTATTATATAATACTATTTGTGTTAAAAATAATAAACCAGCATCATGCAAAAACTGTGTGTGTGTGTGTGTGTGTGTGTGTGTGTGTGTGTGTATGTACTCTGGTAAGAAAAATTAAAGAAACCCAAATAAACGGGTTTCTATTGATCCTAGTAAAAATAGAGTAGCCTACTTGGCCTTTATCTAGGTGATCAAAAAAACAAATTGCAGCTTTGTTTTTGTTTTTTTAAGTTAATGCTATGCAGAATTTTCTGTCACTTTCAGACAAACTAAAATGATCCATAGAATGGGTTTATTGGAATGATCCTATGAATATCATGAATATCAACTGCATATGTCTATTCATAATAAATCTGAAAGCCTCAAATTTCCATTCCTTTTCCTTGTATGTCAAGTGGTTTTACCAAAGCCTTTCCAATGTCCTTAGGTTGGAAAATTGCCTCAGCACCAGTATCTGTGACTCATAATTTGCAAAGCCTTTCAAAGAGATAGGTGATCTATTTCCATTAATCTTCTAAGTACCAGAGTGGATGCTAAAACTAGTTTCTTCATTCTGGCCTTTTATATTGTATCACAGCATGATTTCTGATGAGGGATTTTTGAATTCACATTAACTAATGTTCTCAGTCTGAAATTGGAGAGGATATTTTTGTCCTTGTTTGTGTCAGATTCCATTCTTCCTAAACTAGTGCACATAAGATGGACACTTTTTCAAGGATAATTTTTAGGTGTTATTTCATGGAAAAACAGAGATGTGGATTTTTTTAAAAATCCAGGTCACCTATCAATCACTATGTCACACCAAAATAAATTTTTTTGTTACTGTTTTGGGGCCCATTCCAAGAGGGATGTGCATGACTGGACCAATTTCCAGGAATATACAGTGCATTTTTGAATATTTATTATATATTTCTTCAAATAAGATAAGCGTATGTTTTGATTAAGCATAGGTTAGGACCAGTGATTGCTGGCACTACAGCAAAAATCAGGAAATTGTGTGAATAAGTTGGAAATTTCAGTTGGTAGTTTAGTTCCCAGGCTGATTCTTCGATTAAAAACACAAGAAATTTAGCAGGAAAGTGAGTTTGTTCCAGTACCAACCACTGGGCAGCAAAACTGAAGTATTAACCCTGATACTTTCAGTTGGGTTTTCTTACAGATACTCTAGTAGGAGTTTCTGTATCATCATTTTAAAGTTCATGAAAATTTTTTGTATTAGAGGTGAAAGATTTCCTGGATGGTGATAGTTTGTCATGTCCAACCATTAAGCATCAAGACATGCAAATAATAAATGAGCCAAATTAGTCTCAAGAATTTCTCTTTATGTAAAATAATTTGGCTAATAAATAGATATAGATTTAGTGATCTCCAGATCATCTGGGACATAATTTAGTCTATTTCTTCCTGAAAATATACTGATGGCATTTCCTGCGTAATCCCAGGCTGATCATACCAAAGGGTGAAAGTAGGCAGTTTAGCCTTATTTTGAGTACCCTGGAAAATTATCATGTTTGGGTCTTTGAAAATCCCAATTTCCAAAAAGTGGCTGCATTTAGGCAAGGAGGATAGGTGGGGTGATGGCTGAGAAATATAGCCTCCATCTGGATATGTCTATGTATACAGTATAAAATGGAGTTATTCTAAAGAAAAAAAAGTAGAATAAATATTTGCAACATTTATCAGTTTCAACCTGACAGGACATGTTTCTTCAATTCTTTCTTGAATTCTGCAAGCTACCTCAATTTTTTGCCTAAACTACTTTGAGTAGCTTTCTGCAATTTGCTAATTCAAAGAGTTAATGCTACTGTAAGTCACTTAGATTTTTGACCAAAAAAATTCTATTTCCAAGATAATATATGTCCATGAAATTTTACATGAAATTTCAACTGCCCCAGACCTTGGTGAAAATTAGTTATAGAATATTGAACAGTTCAAAATCCAGATTTGTAGGATTTAACATCAAGTTCTAGAGTGATTAACTTTTCCTGCTTTCCCTGGGAATTTCTTGACTTTATCACTAAAAGTCCTATGTTTCAGGAAGTCCTTTTGTTCCAGGAAAACTGGGATGGCTAGTCATCCTAAACTATAACCTAATATTTGATTAGTAATCCTAAACTATTAATCTTATATTCAGGCTCTTAGTTGCTGTTTTCGTCCCAGTTCCATTGGCCAGCCTTCACCCCAATGACCTCATTACTTCCAGGTTCTCTAGTAATCTTCAAATTAAGTAATCCCAAAATTTCTCTTACACATTCTCATGAGTATAATAATCATAAAATCCCAGACCCCTAGTTGTAACTGCATTCTGGTT